AAAAAAAAAAATATTAGGTTAAAATAAAAACATTTTCAGACATAGTCTCTTTAAGTTACTTCCTATGCATCCTTTCCTAAGGAAGCTACCGGAGGAGGATATGATCCACCAGTATGAAAGAAAAAACCATGCCAGAGGAAGAGGGAGCCAGGAAAAAGAGATCCAACATTCGAGAGAGAAAGGAATCGCAGGCTAAGGGGGAAGGAAAATCTCCAAACAGAAAGTGCTTCACAGGCCATTGGTGATTAATTAGAATACAAAAGATAAGAGAGAATCAAGGATTACTTCCCTAGTTCTGGCTTGACAACTTGGCAGAAGAGCATGTAATTAGGTCAGAAACACCAGCAGAGCAGGTAGGAGAGCAGGTATGCTTCTGGACTGGTTGAGTTTGAGGGGAGATGGTGACCACAACTTCCCTGGGTTTCAAGCTGACATCTGGACTAGAGATACAGAGTCATGCACTGTTGGTGTAATGATAGCAACCGAAGTCCCCGAAGTGGAAAAGCACAGCCATGAACACAGTGTAGGGCGGCAAGCAAAGAAGGCCTAGGACAGAGCCCTGAAAACTCCCAGACATCGGATGAGGCAAAGAAAAGCTGCTGGCAAAGGAGGGGCTAGAGAGACAGGAATAAAATGAGGAGAATGTGAGAGTATCAGGAAAGTCAAGAGAAGAGATTGCTTCAAGAAGGATGGAATGTTCAATAGCCAAGGAAGAAAAGGATTAAAAAGTATCCGGTGGGGGCACCTGGGGGGCTCTGTCAGTTGAACGTCCAACTCTTGATTTCGGCTCAGGTCACGATCCCAGGGTCCTGAGACTGAGCCCCACATCGGGCTCCGCACTCAGTGGGGAGTCTGCTTGGGATTCTCTCTGTCCCTGTCCCTCTGCTCCTTCCCTCACTAGTGTGCGCTCTCTCAAAATAAAATAAAATCTTAAAATAAATAGAATAAAATAAAATAAAATGTGTCCAGTGAATTTTGTGGCATGGAAATCACTGGTAACATGGTAACAAGGGCAACAATTTATCCCTATTAGATCACCAAAGGTTAAAAAGATTGATCAAGTAATCAAGCTATAGAGAAATGATGCGCTCATGCACTACTGGTGGAAATGTAAATGAGCACCATGTTTTCAATAAGCAATTTGGAAATACCTATCAAACATAAAATATATATAACCCCTGACCCAGAAATATTCTTCTAGAATATTCTTCTAGATGTTCATTCGACAGAAATATCGGTACAGGTGTGCAAAGTAAGTACGAGAATGTTCAGTTGCAGCCCCGTATTCAGAATTTGGGGCATGGGAGAACTACATCACCATCAAGAAGAAATAAGATGGATAAATTTAATGAAATAATGAATGTATCCAACAGATACCTATGCAGTTGCTCATAAATGAAGTAGATATGAATGTACTGACTTAGAATGGTGTCTATAACATAGCAAGTGAAAAATCAGTATACATAGTCTGCATGTTTCTAAAATGTATAGGTATAGATATGCATACACATTACATACCATAACTATATAAATATATGTTTGCAAATGCATAGATAAAAAGATAAAATATAAAAACCATATGAAATGGTGTTTGGGGGACAAAGGAGGGTTTTCACTTTTCCATTAGTTGGATTTTTTACAAGAATGTGTTATTTTGGGGGCACCTGGGTGGCTCAGTTGGTTAAGCAACTGCCTTTGGCTCAGGTCATGATCTCAGGGTCCTAGGATGAGCCCCACATCGGGTTCCCTGTTCTGCGGGGAGCCTGCTTCTCCCTCTCCCTCTGCCCTCCCCGCTGCTCATGCGCACTCTCTCTCTCTCCCCCTCTCTCTCTCTTTCTCCCTCAAATCAATAAAATCTTTTTAAAAAACCAAGAATGTGGGGCACCTGGGTGGTTCAGTCATTAGGTGTCTGCCTTCGGCTCAGGTCATGATCCCAGGGTCCTGGAATCGAGCCCTGCGTCAGGGCTCCCTACTTCGCGGGAAGCCTGCTTCTCCCTCTCCTGCTCTCCCTGCTTGTGTTCCCTCTCTCGCTATGTCTCTCTCTGTCAAAGAAATAAATAAAATCTTTTAAAAAAAAACCAAGAATGTATTATTTTTATAAAATTTTAAGATTATATGAAAGGAAAAAAAGAGAGAAAAAGCACCTGCTAAAACAACAGTGTGGGAGAAATTAGAATAGCCAGCTGTCTGATGCCTTACCTTTGCTGAGATAGGTTCTTGCTATAGATTTGGCTGACAAAATCATGTAACTGAAATTTGGGGCAAGATGCTCCATCTTTCTCACAGTCTTCAAAGTGCACAGAGAGTAACAGTTCATTCAGAAGCTGCAGCGCTTGTAAGTGAGGCATGTCCCTTGCGGTGCAGATGTTTAGGACCGCGTATAACACTCCCTCCAACCACTTGATATTGAGGATTATTCCCCCTACACATTAATGGGGAGGGAAATACCAGTTAGCACCACCAAAAGGGTTTGCCTAGAATATAGGACAAACCCCAGACAGTGAACAGCCACCTTTTTTCCAAGATAGGTTGGTCGTAAGAACCTGAAGATAAACAAACACTCCTCTTCGTAAGCCAAGAGCCCTAATTGTGCCCTTTATAACAAATTGTGTGTTACCCTACCCTAGAAGGACAGGTATGACTAATGTAGACATTGCTAATGGCAAAAGCATCCTAGAAATCTCTAGAATGATCCTTCCAATAAGGAGAAGAGACTAGGGAAAAATATAAGATTAGAGCAGGGAAACGCCATGTAGTGTGAGATATCACATCCTCCTGTTTAAATAGGCTCTTACCTCTGGCTGTTTCTAGTTCAGCCTTAACAGGTCTGAGTGCTCAGACTTCTCTGCTTTCCCTAAAGAAGGCTGGCTTTTTGCCACCAAAACTGCTCCCATTCAAAACCTAAATAGCTAGGGGTGCCTGGGTGACTCAGTTGGTTGAGTGTCTGCCTTTGGCTCAGGTCATGATCCCAGGGTCCTGGGATCAAATGCCCACTCTGGTTCCCTGCTCGGTAGGGAGCCTGCTTCTCCCTCTCCCTCTGCTGCTCCCCCTGCTCGTGTGTGCGCTCTCTCTCTTAAATAAATAAATAAGATCTTTAAAAACAAAACAAAAAACCTAAATAGCTGAGAGTGTGTCTAGCCTGTACGCCCCCTACACACATACCCAAGACACAACACACACACACACACACACACACACACAGGGATTATAAAATAGCACCAGGCCAAGAGGGAAGTAACTTTCAAAAGAGTGCCAAAAACATGGCAAGCCATTACCAGCAGGACTGTAGAGGCAGGTAGCCTGAAGAATCACAGGATCTTGGAGGGCAGCTGTGATGTCCTTGTTGGCCCCCCAGATGTTGACAAAATCTTCAACACATTGATACTGAGGCCGCAAGATATTGGTGTGGTTCAGTAGGAGTTTCAACCTGAAAGGAAAGCCCCCAAGACAGGGAGTGCAGAGTCAGTACTCCCATAAACCAACCCATGACCCACTGTGTTGGATCGCATCCAACCCCCACCCCCACCCCCGACTTCCTGCCCTGCACAGCGCCGCTCAGAGGCAACCAGGGTGCAGGCAGCACTGGGGCACTACTTATCCGCTGGATTGTTCAGCAGGCTACCTGACGCTTAGTGAATGTGGTCTCTTGCCAGGCACTAGGCTAGACAGCAGGGGTACAAAAATAATATTTGACACATGCTGTCAATCACTTTTCATGGTGTTGACTGACAGTTTCCCTTCCCACTGATGCACAAGGGGAACACAAGTCAGGTTCAAGCGGTGGGAAGCAATGCTCCATTGCAGTTCTACCCATTTGCCCACCAAAGGAAACAGTCCACCCACAAGGGCTGTTTATGGAGAAGTGGGGAAGACACAATTAGAAAGGCTGGCTGGGTGTTGCAGATGAAGCTGCTCTTCTTCCTTATTACTGGGAATGACCTACCCCAAGGGGGAAGCAGTGGGCTGGGGTGGAGGTGGGGGGAGGAGCCAGATAGGAGCAGATGGAGCAGTTCTGCCAGCTTCCCGCTCACCCTAACGGGCTACCTGGCTATTGGGACGGCAGCCACGAAGCTGTACACGATGCAACCTTTCTCCAGGCGGGTTTGAATTTCTAGGCAGATATTAGGCAGCTGAGAGGGCAGGCAGCAGAGGAACAGAACGTTGGCCCAGTCCACCAGATAAGGGTTATGGTAAAAACACTGGATTCCCAGTTTCTGGAACTCATCTGGGAGGGATAAAGGAAGAAAGACAGATCACATCACAAAGGAGTTTGACCTAAACATCAGCTGTGGGGAGAGGATGACAATGACTTTTTCTCAAGTCCTCTCTCCACGTGAATCAGAGAGACCCCCTCCACACGTCTTCTAAAAGACATGGGCCATGCCCCAACCCCATCATCAAAAAAGCTAGTGTCACTGCAGCCATGCTGGAGATTATAATTCATCCTCTCTTACTTTTAGACCAAATGCTAGAATTTTTCAGGTTGGTTGGTTGGTTTGTTAGGAAGAAAAAAGTCTGGAAGAAGCCTCCTTGCTCTAATTTAATGACGATTCATCATGTGCCAGGTAGCGTACAAAGTACTCTACATACATTATCTAAGTCAGTCCCCACAGGACCTTCTGAGACTAGTATTATTCCTATATTATAGATGAGGAAACTGAGGTTTTGAGAAATCACTTGGCTTGAGCTGGTGGGAAAGGCTAAGAGAGTGGAAGAACATAGGGCAGAGGCTGGGAGGAGTTTGGAAAAATATACTTACAGTTTCAGTAAAGTATATGCAACTTACTGTTGTTTTAACAAGATAGTTTTAAACATTGAGAGAAATGTGATGACTCATGTATTTGCATTCAGTCACTGGCAGTTAATCATTTGTACTTACTCGATATGGATTTCAAAAGTAAAAATGTAAACTCACATAAGGTAGTATGTTTTAAGGGTTGTTGGAAAACAGAATATTACAGACATTGGAGAAGTGAGTTCTTATTTTAACCACCAAGGGTATATGATAACATTTGATGCTGATGTTATCTGGGCACTCATAAACCTGGAAGATGGATGGGACAAAGAGGAAGTTTAGAAAACATGCACGTCCATACTTCTTTCACAGGTTGTTCTCAAAAGTGTACAGAATCTGATGCTAAGGGATGCCTGGGTGCTCAGTCGGTTAAGCCTCTGCCTTTGGCTCTGGTCATGATCCCTGCTTTGGGCTCCCTGCTGACTAGGCAATCTGCTTCTCCCTCTCCCTCCCCCACCCCAGCTCATGCTCTCTTCTCTCTCTGTCTGTCAAATAAATAAACAAAATCTTAAAAAAAAAAAAAAATCTGATGCTAAGCATTTTGAATTCTTTCTTCCTTACACAACATGCAGGGATGTTCTAAAACTGTAATTTTATTATTAATAAATACAGTGCTTTCCAAAGAATATATGCACCTTATTGAAACATATATACTAGTCCTATTGATGAAATCAGAGAAATTTGTTTTACATGGTAAGATTTTTTTTTTTTTTAAGATTTTATTTATTTATTTGACAGGGAGAGAGAGAGAAATCACAAGTAGGTATGCGGGGAGTGGGAGAGGGAGAAGCAGGCTTCCTGTGGAGCAGGGAGCCCGATGCGGGGCTCAATCCCATGACCCCGGGACCATGACCTGAGCCGAAGGCAGACGCCTAACGACTAAGCCACCCAGGTGCCCCACATGGTAAGATTTTTAAGTTTAATATAGAAAGAATGCTTGCAAATTAATAAGAAAAATTCAGTCAGGCACTCCAACTGAAAAACTGGACAAAAAGAACTCAAAAAAAGGAACTAGTAATAAAGCTATAAAACATATTCAGTTCTTCTAGTGATCAGTAAAGAATATATTAAAACAAGAAAAATTTAAAAGGTATATTAAAATGGTGATTAAGGGGCACCTGGGTGGCTCAGTAGGTTGAGCGTCTGACTCTTGATTTCGGCTCAGGTCATGATCTCCGGATTAGGAGATGGAGCCCTGCTTCAGGCTCCGTGCTCAGCGGGAAGTCTGCCTGAGATTCTCTCTCTCTCCCTTGCCCTCTGCCCCTCCCCAGCTCGCACACACGTGATCTCTCTCAAATAAATACACAAATAAATAAATAAATCTTTAAACACACACATAAACCTCTTTCTAGCTTCCTTCAGGGCTAGCAAGCAGAGAACTAAGTATGCTGCGTGCAGGGATTCCTTATTCAAGGGACGCTTTCAAAATGGCCTCGTCAACACCCAAGTCCCTCTCGGCCACACACTGTTCCTCACCCAGGGCCTCTGGCCTCCGAGTGGAGATCCTCAGGTTCTCAGCAGGGATGGGGACAAGCTGAAGCAGTACACGAGCCAGCTGCTTCCCAAGGTGGCCACCTCCAATGATGCCCACCTTTAACTCATCATCATCGGGAATGCCAGTAAGCAATCCAGTCAAGGGACAGCTGGAAGTCTGCTTCTCATGGAATGATTCTCTGGAGAATGAACACACAGACACATAAATAAATACACATGAACCCTGTAGCTCTTCTTAACTGTCAACCTCCGATGTCCTCCGCTTTAGCTTCCTCATGTGGCAGCCTGGTGGCCCCTGAAGTACTCCAGAGATAAGGCATTCCAATTAGGTGCCACTTACCCAGCATTGCTGGGGAATGAAATGTTCCCCCTGAGCAAATTTTCCACAAAGTAAAGCATCCCACTTCAAGGGACCGAAACTTGTTTAAAACATTTTTAAATGAGCATATTTTGTTGTTGTTACATGTACCATGAATTTCCCTGCCTTCTTAAACACAAGGTCTGAATATTTAACTGTTTGACTCAGAACTATCATTGTGAACTGCTGTTTATGCAGCATCCTGGAACACTGTCGGCCAGTTCCTTCATTGCTTCCTGTGTAGACAGTTGTCAGTTTTCATTGCCATCATGATAAGCATATCCCTCTCCTACCACATACCTACTCTTTCTGCTTTGCTATTTTAGTTTTGCATACATCTGGGTAACCAGGTAACTTAGCTTTTTTCAAACATATGATTTATAAAAATAAGTGATATATAGGGGAAAACAAACCTGAGAAATTGAGGATCAAAGGTTTGAGGCCACTCTTTCCAGAGGCTCACTTAACTGTTGGTTCTGGATGTGTTTCCTTGGCCCAAGGTGAACAAAGTCTGACCTCTGAATACATAAGGCATTGTTTTCTGTTGTTATATGACAATCTTATATTTGTTCTCTATTTCTGTTAAAATTAGACTTAAGCTCTGGAGTTTCCATATAAACATCACAAGCCACATTCTATTTAAGGCTTCTCTCTGGGTTGAAAGGAAAGCATTTACTCTGTGCCTGATCCTCCCAAATATAAAATGCCTCCCAGAAATTTCATTTTGGTTTCTCACCACTCATCTGGGATGCAACCAGAAGGTTTATGTACTCTTATCAGTCAACCAATCAGCAGACTCATAAAGCAGCCTGCCTCTTTGTGTGTCTGCTATATCTGTAACATGTTCAATTCAGATCTGGTCCCACCATCCAGCAGTTGATCTAATTTCAGAAAAAAGTAGTCTGGGGGCGGAGGGCACTACCAATGTTCCAGGAGTAGCTTATAGAATCCAGGAGCCTGGGCTTAGGTACCTGGCTCTCACACACTACCTGTTTAAGTGTCCGAAGCCATATTGCACAAAGACACCAGAGGTCAGGACTAGACTGAGCTTCTTTGCAAATCAGTATCCTTGGGTTTCACGCAAGTCACCTGACCAAAAGGACCCCCCGAGTTTCAGGAGGATTCCATTATTAGCTTAGCCCAGAAAGGAAGAACCAACCTCATTTTCAGCCAACAACTACAGGATAGCTAGTCATTGGTAGCTGTGGAAGACAAGCTGGTGGTCCCAGTGAGTGACTGAATGATCATTTAATCAATCCACCCACCAAAAGGAAATCACCACAAGCTGTGCTTTGTTATGTAACCACAGCCAACGGACTCTGGTATGCATTTCCCAGTGCCTTCAGACCACAGTGACTGACTGTGGGTTGGAAAAGGTAGGAAGACACTCCCCCTGCCAAAGGTATCCTCCAATATAGAAAGTTTAAGTCATTTGGATACTCCACAGTGAGATTCTTCTCCATCTGGCCTACCTTGGAGACCTAGCTTACCTCAAATTACAGAGTAGCTTGCAGAAGAAGGTTGCATGGGCACAGGCCTTGATCATCAGCCCTCGAGAACGGCCCTGCAAATACAGCCAGCTGCGATCTTCCTCTTGAATCCCATACTCAAACTGCAGGGATTCAAGGTCCCCTAGCATGTCCATTTCCAAGCCACCGTCTCCTGCAGTGACAGATGCCAATCAGTTTGGCTCCCTGTCTTGGAAGACAGGGAGTGTGTGCCCAAGTCACAGGCGGTTGTGATGGTGGGCTTCAGCACCTCTCTCCTCCCATATTCTGTACTTGCAGTGTGAGTCCTGGAGGATTCCTATGCACTGACTGCCCACGGATCAGGAATACCTGGATTCACAAAAAACCTGAACAAAAATCCAAAGTAACGCTCCTCTACATAGGCTACATGCACTTTTTTCAAGAGATTCATTTACATTAGCAGTGGGTTTCGCAGATGCTCATGAGCCAGGACCTTCTCCCTTCCACTCCCTCCTAGGCCTTAGAAATAGGACTGGCCATGTACACCACACTTCAGAGGAATTCTTTTCACTAAACTCTGTGTTCCTCAAAGGATAGGAAAGAGCCCAAAATAACTAACATGGTCCCCTGCCTAGGGCAAGGACATTTGGATTTTAGAAAATGAAGCCAGAGATACATAAGCCTGTGTACATATATCTCTCACCAACCAAAGTGAGGAGAAGGTGGCACTACTCCTCAGTACTTCTGGTCCTGGAGATTAAGAATACATTTCCAGGGAGAATTACCCAAGAAAGTTGTCATTATGACTCCTTAGCTACCAGATTACTTCAGTCTCTGAGCCTTAAAGGGGCCAGCCCCACACAGAAGTTTTCAGACCCGCCTCATGAGGACAGGAATTCTTTCCACTAGTTTTTTTATTTTCACCGAGGATTTATTTGAGGGGGGAGGATCAGAGGGAGAGGGGGAGAGTCTCAAGCAGATTCCCTGCTGAGTGCGGAGCCCAACACAGGGCTTGATCTCACGACCCTGAGATCATGACCTGAGCCAAAATCAACAGTCAGACACTCAACCAACTGAGCCACCCAGGCGCCCCTTTCCACTACTTCTAGGAGCACTAGAAACAGGGAAGTATGGGATCCTCCTTTTCCTAACAGAAGGTTCTAGACTTCTAGATTTTTCCCAGACTGTAATATCATACAGATCTCAGCACTAGTCAAGGAGTTATTTTTCAAACTCCTTCTTTTGTATTCAAGATACCGATGAATAAGATGAGTAAGTTCTGGGGATCTAATGTACACCATAATGACTATAGTTAATTATACTATATACTTGAAATTTGCTAAGAGTAGATCTTAAATGTACTCACCACATACATAAAAGGTAATTATATGAGATGACAGATGTGTTAATTAACTGAACTGTGGTAATCATTTCACAACATATATCAAATCATCATGTTGTATGCCTTAAATATATACAATTTTTATTTTATTTTTTATTTTATACAATTATACTTCAATAAAGCCAGGGAAAGAAATCAGTGATATTCAGAACTCTATTTTATTATAGCAATGGCAAAACTGAGATCAGAAATCAAAACTAGCTCAAATCTCTAATCCACTTTTTTGAAAGTAATCTCTACATTCCATGTGGGGCTCGAACTCACGACCCCGAGATCAAGAGTCGCACCTTCTACAGACTAAGCCAGCGAGGCACCACTCTAATCCACTTTCTAAATTAAAAAAAAAAAAAAATTGAGGTGAAACTCACATAACATAGATAGCCACTTAGAAGTGAACAATCCAGTACATTCACAATACACTCATACCCACTACCTCTAGTTCCAAAACATTTCCCGATGAAAGGAAACCCTATACCCATTAAGCAGTTACTCCCCACTTGCCGGCCACCCTCCTCAGCCCCTGGTACCCCAAATCTGCTTCTTGTCTCTATGGATTTACCTTTTCTGGATGTTTCACGTGAATGGAACCACAAAATATGTGACCTTTCATGTCTCTGGCTTCTCTAATCCCTTTCATAGCAGGGCTCTTTTTAGTTTTTTTTTAAATTTAAATTCAAGTTAGTTAACATCCAGTGCAGCCCTGCTTTCAGGAGCATCCAGTAATTCATCCCCCACATACAAGCCCAGTGCTCGTCCCAACAAGTGCCCTTCAAAGTGCCCATCAGCCATTTAGCCCATCCCCTCACCTACCTCCCCTCCAGCATCCCTGTTTGCTCTCTATAGTTAAGAGTCTCTTATGGATTGTCTCCGTCTGTTTTTATCTTGTTTTATGTTTCCTTCCCTTCCCCTATGTTCATGACTGTTGTTTCTTAAATTCCACGAGTGAAATCATCTGATTTTTCTTTCTCTGACGTACTTTGCTTAGCATAATATATTCTAGTTCCATCCACGTTGTTACAAATGGCAAGATTTCATTCTTTTTGATCAGAGTAATATTCTATTATGTGTGTGTATGTATATATATAAATATACAGTGTGTATACACTGTATATCAGGCTGGAGCCCGATGTGGGCTTCAATCCCGGATCCCCGGGACCATGACCTGAGCCGAAGGCAGATGCTTACCTGCTGAGCCACCAGGTGCCCTCTGTGTTTTTTTTTTTAAGACTAATTTATTTAGGGGTGCCTGGGTGGCTCAGTCATTAAGCACCTGCCTTCGGCTCGGGTCATGATCCCAGGGTCCTGGGATCGAGCCCTGCATCGGGCTCCCTGCTCGGCGGGAAGCCTGCTTCTCCCTCGCCCACTCCCCCCACTTGTGTTCCTGCTCTCACTATCTCTCTCTGTCAAATAAATAAATAAAATCTTAAAAAAGAAAAAAAGAGTAATTTAGTGTATATATATATACACACACACTGTATATGTGTACACACACACATACAAAGATGGGTATATCTATACCCATACAAATGGGTAAATACAAATACATATATACCCATCTTCTTTATCTATTCCATCAGTTGATGGACATTTGGGCTCTTTCCATAATTACGCTATTGTTGATAATGCTGCTATAAACATTGGGGTGCATGTGCCCCCTTTGAATCAGCATTTTTGTATTTTGTATCCTTTGGATAAATACCTAGTAGTGCAATTGCTGGGCCATAGGGTAGTCTTATTTTTAACTTTTTGAGGAACCTCCATACTGTTTTCCAGAGTGGCTGTACCAGTTTGCATTCCCACCGACAGTGCACAAAGGTTCCCCTTTCTTCACAGCCTTACCAACACCTGTTATTTCCTCAGTTGTTAATTTTAGCCATTCTGACAGGCTTGAAGTGGTATCTCATTGTGGTTTGATTTGTATTTCCCTGATGATGAGTGACGTTGAGCACCTTTTCATGCATCCGTTAGCCATCCAGATGTCTTCTTTGGAAAAGTGTCTATTCATGTCTTCTGCCCATTTCTTAACTGGATTATTTGTTTTTTGGGTGTTGAGTTTGATAAGTTCTTTACAGATTTAGGATACTAGCCCTTTATCTGATATGTCATTTGCAAATATCTTCTCCCATTCCATTGGTTGCCTTTTGATTTTGTTGTTTCCTTTGCTATGCAGAAGCTTTTGCTTTTGTTTCCCTTGCCTCTGGAGGTACGGGGTACGTTAAGTAAGAAGTTGCTGTGGCCAAGGTCAAAGAGGTTGCTGCCTGTTTTCTCCTCTAGGATTTTGATGGTTTCCTGTCTTACATTTAGGTCTTTCATCCATTTCAAGTTTGTTTTTGTGTATTGTGTAAGAAAGTGGTCCAGTTTCATTCTTCTCCATGTCACTGTCCGGTTTTCCCAATACCATTTATTAAAGAGACTTTCTTTTTCCCACTGGATATTCTTTCCTGCTTTGTCAAAGATTAGTAGACTATCATTCGAGGGCTCTTATGTCAATCTCAATCTTAGCACTTGAAGTGAAGAGTATGGAAGCTCTTATCAAGTTTGAGAAAATACTTCCTTTGATCACAACACTGAGTAGGTAGGTAATCCTAACGTTGCATGTGATGTTATTGTTCTGAAGGAGAAAGTTCAGGATCTCCCCACTCAGCATGACCATGAACCTGTACAGCTGTGGACTCTAGGCCCATCCTTCGCTAACACATTCTCAGAAATACGGATCCAGCAGTTGTGGCTTTGTAACGTGTCAGGTTGGCTAGGCTAAACTACATTTCCCAGAATTCCCTTCCCTGAATATTTCTGGTTAGCCACAAGAGACTTTTGTGCAAGATCTGGAAGGCTGAGTTGAAGCAACGGCGAGTTTGTGTTGATGCTTGCAAGGTCAGGGCAGGTACTTTGTCTGCTAGCAACCCTGCTGGTGGGGGGCAGCAGTTGGACCCACAATTGCTACAGTTTCCCCTGGATCCTCCTACAGCTTCTCACACTCCTGAGCCAGGTTTGTGTTCAGCTGTGCGACAAAGGCCACCAGCTGCAGGACACCCACTTCCTCAACATTAGAGGCAGTGAGAATTGACACGGGTTCCTGTCCATCCTCACGGGCTCCATCTTGTCCTTGCTTTCCCTCACATTTTATCCACCTTCCCTTCCCCACTGCCTGCCCTGTGGACATCCAGCTCTACCACCAGGTATGAAGACAACCTTCCAGAGACTGTTTAACCAAAGCCATACTTGAGTAAAGTCCAATCCCTGTAATGAATCCTACATATAGACAGACTACATACTAATGATTCTGCTTCTCTAAATGAATCCTGGTATACTAAGTAATAAAGCCACCATGGTTCGTTGGACGATCAGGCAATAACTTCAGCACAATTTAGCAAATTAAACTCCTGTTTCTTCAGTAGCAAGAGGGATGATTAGAGAAGGAACTATGAAATTACCTGGAATTGCAAAGTGGAGGAGCAAGAGACGGAGTCTGATAACCTTAAAGCAGGTTCGCATTACTGACATTCTGGGCGGCTGTCCTACGTTGTAGGACGTTTTGCAGCGTTCTTGCTTCTACGCACTAGATGCCAGTAGCGCCCACTTGTTGTAGCAACAAAGCATCTCCAGATTTTGACACGGGTCTCCTGAGGGAAAAATTGTCCCCAGTTGAGAACCACATGCCTTAAAGCCTGCTGGGGTTTTTTTTTTTTTTAAGATTTTATTTATTTATTTGGGTGAAAGAGAGAGAACAAGCAGTGGGGAGGGGCAGAGGGAGAGAGAAGCAGACTCCTCACTGAGGAGGGAGCCCTACGCGATGCCGATGCCTGGCTCTATCCCAGGTCCAGGAAATCATGACTTGAGCCGAAGACAGACTTTTAACCAATTGAGCCACCCCGGTGCCCCCTGCTGTGTGCTTCTATACATCTCCTTTTCCTCTAAAACTTCACCCACTCCACAGGGGCATATAATTCTACAAGCTCTGAGAGAAACACACCATCCTATGACAGGTTAAGATAGTGAGTCCAGAGAGAAAGGGATTCACTCAACACCACACAGCTTATCAGTGGTAGAACTGAGACAAGAGGCCAGGTCTTTTGTCTCCCAGCTTGGTGCTCCATTAACCACACAGCCATACTTTGCCATAAACACCGTTACTCCATGACTTAGGTTGACAGATACTGAATGCGGTCACTGAGGCAGGTTTCTAATGGTCCCAAGAGACAGGGCAATTATTTCATTGTTCTGCACAAAACAACTGGGAGGGAAAGAGAAGGCACCAAGGAGGAAAAAGCTTTATTAATAGAGTCTAGGCATGTCGGGGAAACCCAGTTCAGTCACAGAGAAGAGAGGCTAATATTGGTACAGGGCAGGAGGCTAGTACTACAGAATATCCTGTTGAAAACCACGTGTGAAACTCAAACCTCCATCTTAATATCCTAACCGTCTGAAATGCTGCTGAGTTTAGCCCTGGTGAACCTTCTGGAAGCTCCTAGTGAAATAATGAGATATGTGCATAAGGGAAGAGCACTACAGCACTGCTGAATCTGAGCTCCATAAAAGGTTATGGGTTTAGGGTGGGAGAAGTAGAGGAAAAGATAACGGGGATGTCCTTATCTCCCACACAAGGCCATCTTGGTGTGCAGGTGAGAGAAGAACCACAAGTCTCGGACAGAGGCTAGACTGGGGCAGCAGAGGGCACTGGTTGAAGAAACACGACATCTGGGCAATCTCTGTCATTATGTGGAGAACTCTGTGCAGTCTGGTGTGAAGGCACCTCCAACAGTTCGTGGCTATTACTGGCACCCCTTCCTGAGGTCCCTTGGGAGAAAGCCATTTTGGTTCTTTTCTGACTTCATTCAGAGCAGAACTGCCAATGTCCAGCACCAAGTCCAGGGTCATAATTAGCTGAGAGGAATGGAGTGGCCACTCTATGACACCTGACCTCTTAGTCTAGATGACTTCTTTTCTAGAGCCGTCATTTTTCCCAGACCAAGAGAGATCTTGCCCAATATGGGCCCAATCTAGAAATTACTCCCACCTTCATGTGAGCACCAGGTGGAGAGAATCTTCCTCATGAGTCAAAGCTTTAGATCTTGGCCCTTGGACGATGATCCTTGGACAGAAGATCAGTCTGAAGCTGTCTGTGCCCAGACGCTGGTTTCTGTCCTCAGAGTAGCAGGCACTGCCTGTTGATGATGGGTCCAAGCGATGTGTTGAAGAGCACACTCTACTTTCACAGGCAGGAAAAGAAGAAATGAGGCAGGTTTCAGGGTAGCCAATGCCACTTAATTCTTCCATCGAATTTGCTGTAGAAAGAACAAACAATATCTGTTTCCACTGACCCCTAGAGAGAGGTAGCGGAATACAATAAAACAAGGCTAACAGCTAGATAAAGTAAGAATAAGAATGGAGAGTGAAATTGAGAATTGTTTTTCTAAGATGTGGGGGAGTTTGCTTATTCAAAGATGAATCAAACACCCATCCTGTGTATCATAAGCTTCATTTAGGGCATTTGTTCTGGTTCTGCCCTACGCAGGACCAAGACTCACTAGCTTTAGATAACCCAAGGGTAGGTCCCAAAATATCTAACAGGGAGCTAAGCTCCATATTAACAAAAAGCTCAGCAATTTCCTGCTATGAGAGATGAGCCCGCTGTTGCCCAAATAGCTAATATCTGTTTTACCCACTTATTTCCAACAGGTAGGTCACACCTGGCCCAGGAAACTACCATCTGGATGTTCTGAATCCGTAGCAGTTGTTTCCATACTCCCTGGACTAGTACCTCCTACCCACTATGTTTAACGATTACCAGGGTGCTATGTGAAGTCTCAGCCCCAGGTCCCCAGATTACCACTGGGTCATCCCACATCTCAGGAGTAATTTCTGCTATTCAAAGCAGTGCTTCAGATCCTGAGGCCCAGAAGAGATCCTTGTATCCATGATACTCAGCAAACTATGACCCCATCCAGGCCTTGGGGATATATATTTGATGGTACTATTGAGGACCGTCTCCTGGGACTGCTGGAGAATATGCTTTAGCTGCTCACCGAGCTATTCAGAATGGCATCAATCTTCTCCTCCTCTGCAGATCCTTTATCCACCTTACTCCTGTATGCTAGCAACTGTTGACGATCCTTCAGGTCCCGGCAAGTCTATACACCAACAGACACAATAAAACCTCCAATCAGCCTTCTCTACGACGGCCTTTTTCTTTCTGCCACTCTCAACATGGGGCCAAGGTTCAAGGAGAGGCTGACGGCCTATAGTGGGATGACAGTGGGGTCAAACACCTACAGAACTTCTTACTGAAGAGAAATCTACAGAGCTTATGTGGCTGGATTCAGTTCTGTGAATTCCGTAAGTGCAACAAATTTATAAAAGCAGAGAGGTTATCAAAGGGCTGGGGAAATAATACAGGAGAACTCGTTCCAAACTAATTCTTGCCAGATCATTTTGTCTGTTAAGTCGAAATTGAAAGCACCTCAGGATCTAAGACAGAGAATATCATAATCCCCCATTCTCCAGTAAGGGTCTAACTCACGGTTCTCATTTCTTAGGGACTCACATCAATGACGACATCATGGCACTTGAACTTGGTGGCTAAGTTCAACTTTGTGTCCACATCTTCCACCAAATTAACATACTCTTGTAGTATCTATGGGAAAAGGTACTTCTGATTAATGACTCCCAGACCCATAAAACAAAGAGCTCTAAAAGGAAGACAACAAAAATCCTGAGAAAGGCAAGAGTTCCATATCTGATGTCTACCATTCCCATGATCAACCAGAGAACTAGTTCTGCAATGGGGAATGAGGTGACTGTATGCAGTACTTCCGTGCTTGCCCAGGGCAGATGGGAAGAGCACATTCTGCCTTACCCTACAGCTAGATACCCAGGCCAACAAGAGGTGTGCTCTAGATCTGAGCTGGTGCTATGCTCATTGCTCCTTGATGTCCTTTCTCACTGAGCTCTCCTTTTGTATCATTTGAATAATATGTCAGTGCTCCACATGGGCACAGTAGATGCTCCTCAAAGAGGGGCAGTCTGGGATTACTTCTAAAGGGGAGAGGAGAACTTCCCTCCTTCGCCTTTTCTATCTCAAGGTCCACTACCACCATTATGTTATCTTTAAGATAAGACCAGAGCAGGTCTCAAGTCTCCCATCACTGACCAGTAAGAGGCTAAAAGTTAGGTCTCCTAGAGGATCCTGTACCCAACACTCTTTGGGGTCCATTACCTGGACAGGGGCACTATTCTTGTGCAAAATTTCCACAACCCGATGGAAGCCAATGGGTGCTCTCTTCTTAGTGTAGCCCAGCCAGTTCTGAAAAGGGAAGATGGGGCAGCAGTAGCTAGGCAAGACAGACTCAACACATTTTGTGACCATTCATTTTATGTATAGACTAGAATAACATGGTGGTGTGTATGGATGGATGGGAGGTGGGAGATAGAGAAGTGAAGAGAGAGGAGTTTTTCAGAAAAGTCAAGGAATTTAAGAGGGTGGAAAAAGAGCCAAAGAGGGGCACCTGGGTGGCTGAGTCGTTAGGCGTCTGCCTTCAGCTCAGGTCATGATCCCAGGGACCTGGGATTGAGCCCCGCATCGGGCTCCCTGCTCAGCAGGAAGCCTGCTTCTCCCTCTCCCACTCCCCCTGCTTGTGTTCCCTCTCTCGCTGTGTCTCTCTCTGTCAAATAAATAAATAAATAATCTTAAAAAAAAAAAAAAAGCCAAAGCTATGAAATAAGTTCTTAGATCTACAGGCAGAAAAAAGTCTGTGAAATATGGCTAAATGAAATAAGCAATTTACTTTATAATACTTGTAGTATGAACTTATCTGGGTGGAAAAAATCCTATCCTCTGTGTTTATATTCATATAAGGGTATTTGTAAATTCATGAGGGAAAGTCTGGAAAACTACCCATCAAACTTTTAAGATTATTTGCCTTGCAGAAGGGACTGAGATAGGAGCAGGTAGACAATGGACGAGGAATTTCACGTAATTTGACTGTCTGTGCTCTCATATAGTGTTTGATTTTGACACAGACATGTATTGCTTTGGTAGTCAATGTAACTAATTAAATAACTAACAACAATAACCACCACCAAAAGGGGGGGGCACCTGGTGGGCTCAGTAGGTGGGACATGCAACTCTTGATCTCAGGGTCGTGGGTTTGAGCCCCACATTGGGTGTGTGGAGATTACTTAAGAATAAAATCTTAAAAAAACAAAAACCCAAACAACAAGAAAACAACAACAAAAACCTAACAGATGGGAAAACAAGAAAATTCTCAAATCCATTATAGAAAAAAGGATATTTAAAATATAAACAGAAACACGACAACCAAAGTAATGCAAGATCCTTACTGGATCCTGACAGCAAACAAACACAAAAAGAAACAAAAAGCTCTAAAGAGCGGATTTGAATACAGACTATAGATATCATAATATTAATGTTAAATATCCTGAAAATGATAATAATACTGTGGTTATAAATGAAATAAATGCTTAAGTATTCAAAGGAGAAGTGTCATGTTGTCTGCAACTTACTTTCAAATGGTTCAGCGAAAGAAAAAAGAGAAAGCAAATATGGCAAAAATGTTGATAAATTAGTGAAATAAGACTTTTAGTTGTTTATTATACTATTCTCTCAACTTTTCTTTCAGTTTGACATTTTGGAAAATAAAAAGTTGGAGGAAAAATGTAAACCAGTAACTAGAATGGGAGATCCCCACGAGGCCTGGGGTAACACGATGGTATGTCCAAGGCTTCAGCAGCACCAGACAGTCTCCAGGCACCCACCTTTGTGGTAAAGAGGGCATCGACATCATGCCAGGCTCGAAGCTTGGCACGGGCAGCCAGGGCCGTCAGCACATACTGTTTGTCTGGGATCTAAAAAGCAGAGACCAGGGGAATTAAGGGGGAGGAGAAATGCATCAGGGGAGAATTCTGGAAAAGATAGGCAAAAATATTCCCTGATGTTGATTCTGTCCCTTAAAATGCACAAATCTCTCAAGTCATCAAGAACCTCTTCATTCCCAAGCCCCAGCACTGCTGCAGGCCATTCCGTTTAAGTCTTCCCTCACTTCTCACACACTCACTCCTTTCTACCTTTAACCACGATCATCAAGGGACTTCCTGTATAGGGTGACCAAGCAACATCCATTCCATGCAGTCACCCTGATACTACTTTACCAAACACTGACCAATTTATATCTACCTTAAATGTCTTCTTCAGGTTGACTGGACTGCTGAACGTCCCCTAGGATGAAAGTGGAGAAGGAATTTTTTTTTTTTTTAAAGATTTTATTTATTTATTTGACAGAGAGAAAGCGAGACAGCAAGAGAGGGAACACAAGCAGGGGGAGTGGGAGAGGGAGAAGCAGGCTTCCCGCGGAGCAGGGAGCCCGATGCGGGGCTCAATCCCATGACCCCGGGACCATGACCTAAGCGGAAGGCAGACGCCTAACGACTAAGCCACCCAGGTGCCCCACATCGTAAGATTTTTAAAAATAGCACCAGGCCAAGAGGGAAGTAACTTTCAAAAGAGTGCCAAAAACATGGCAAGCCATTACCAGCAGGACTGTAGAGGCAGGTAGCCTGAAGAATCACAGGATCTTGGAGGGCAGCTGTGATGTCCTTGTTGGCCCCCCAGATGTTGACAAAATCTTCAACACATTGATACTGAGGCCGCAAGATATTGGTGTGGTTCAGTAGGAGTTTCAACCTGAAAGGAAAGCCCCCAAGACAGGGAGTGCAGAGTCAGTACTCCCATAAACCAACCCATGACCCACTGTGTTGGATCGCATCCAACCCCCACCCCCACCCCCGACTTCCTGCCCTGCACAGCGCCGCTCAGAGGCAACCAGGGTGCAGGCAGCACTGGGGCACTACTTATCCGCTGGATTGTTCAGCAGGCTACCTGACGCTTAGTGAATGTGGTCTCTTGCCAGGCACTAGGCTAGACAGCAGGGGTACAAAAATAATATTTGACACATGCTGTCAATCACTTTTCATGGTGTTGACTGACAGTTTCCCTTCCCACTGATGCACAAGGGGAACACAAGTCAGGTTCAAGCGGTGGGAAGCAATGCTCCATTGCAGTTCTACCCATTTGCCCACCAAAGGAAACAGTCCACCCACAAGGGCTGTTTATGGAGAAGTGGGGAAGACACAATTAGAAAGGCTGGCTGGGTGTTGCAGATGAAGCTGCTCTTCTTCCTTATTACTGGGAATGACCTACCCCAAGGGGGAAGCAGTGGGCTGGGGTGGAGGTGGGGGGAGGAGCCAGATAGGAGCAGATGGAGCAGTTCTGCCAGCTTCCCGCTCACCCTAACGGGCTACCTGGCTATTGGGACGGCAGCCACGAAGCTGTACACGATGCAACCTTTCTCCAGGCGGGTTTGAATTTCTAGGCAGATATTAGGCAGCTGAGAGGGCAGGCAGCAGAGGAACAGCACGTTGGCCCAGTCCACCAGATAAGGGTTATGGTAAAAACACTGGATTCCCAGTTTCTGGAACTCATCTGGGAGGGATAAAGGAAGAAAGACAGATCACATCACAAAGGAGTTTGACCTAAACATCAGCTGTGGGGAGAGGATGACAATGACTTTTTCTCAAGTCCTCTCTCCACGTGAATCAGAGAGACCCCCTCCACACGTCTTCTAAAAGACATGGGCCATGCCCCAACCCCATCATCAAAAAAGCTAGTGTCACTGCAGCCATGCTGGAGATTATAATTCATCCTCTCTTACTTTTAGACCAAATGCTAGAATTTTTCAGGTTGGTTGGTTGGTTTGTTAGGAAGAAAAAAGTCTGGAAGAAGCCTCCTTGCTCTAATTTAATGACGATTCATCATGTGCCAGGTAGCGTACAAAGTACTCTACATACATTATCTAAGTCAGTCCCCACAGGACCTTCTGAGACTAGTATTATTCCTATATTATAGATGAGGAAACTGAGGTTTTGAGAAATCACTTGGCTTGAGCTGGTGGGAAAGGCTAAGAGAGTGGAAGAACATAGGGCAGAGGCTGGGAGGAGTTTGGAAAAATATACTTACAGTTTCAGTAAAGTATATGCAACTTACTGTTGTTTTAACAAGATAGTTTTAAACATTGAGAGAAATGTGATGACTCATGTATTTGCATTCAGTCACTGGCAGTTAATCATTTGTACTTACTCGATATGGATTTCAAAAGTAAAAATGTAAACTCACATAAGGTAGTATGTTTTAAGGGTTGTTGGAAAACAGAATATTACAGACATTGGAGAAGTGAGTTCTTATTTTAACCACCAAGGGTATATGATAACATTTGATGCTGATGTTATCTGGGCACTCATAAACCTGGAAGATGGATGGGACAAAGAGGAAGTTTAGAAAACATGCACGTCCATACTTCTTTCACAGGTTGTTCTCAAAAGTGTACAGAATCTGATGCTAAGGGATGCCTGGGTGCTCAGTCGGTTAAGCCTCTGCCTTTGGCTCTGGTCATGATCCCTGCTTTGGGCTCCCTGCTGACTAGGCAATCTGCTTCTCCCTCTCCCTCCCCCACCCCAGCTCATGCTCTCTTCTCTCTCTGTCTGTCAAATAAATAAACAAAATCTTAAAAAAAAAAAAAAATCTGATGCTAAGCATTTTGAATTCTTTCTTCCTTACACAACATGCAGGGATGTTCTAAAACTGTAATTTTATTATTAATAAATACAGTGCTTTCCAAAGAATATATGCACCTTATTGAAACATATATACTAGTCCTATTGATGAAATCAGAGAAATTTGTTTTACATGGTAAGATTTTTTTTTTTTT